TGTGAAGCAGAAGCAACCCATAACATGTGGTGTCAGACAGCCTAGGGCAGAGTGCAGAGAGGTGCCGTAGCAGAGAAACCAAAAAATATTTGTCTGCTAACAGGTACAGAAGAATAATTTTTACTACAAAGTTGTTATAATTTTATGAAGCCATAGGCAACACACAGAAATGGCCTTGGTGGTCCAGTCTGATGGATCAACTGGCCCTATACTCTGCCTGTCACAGTGGCCAGCCACAGGCACTGAGTGAGCAGCAAGGACAGACTGAGCTTGTATTAGTCTTGCCCTAAGCACTTTTACAGCTTCCAGATATTTTCATCTCAGGGGATTTCCAAAGCTGCTGTTGTTTGTATGTTTAGGGTGTGCCCACATTAGCATTTTAATTTGAAGCAGGAGTCTGTTTTGAAGCAAACAGCTTTGACTGAGCAGGACAGTCCTAGAGCACCCAGCTGGAGTTCCTCCAGACAAAACTAAGCTGGAAGGTGCTCTCCTCTGACAGCTCCTAATTCCTCCAGCACCTGTTGAGGGTGCTCAGAACAGCAGGTCAGGCTGGCTCTAAAATGAAATGACCTCCCAGAAACAGACTAGATATAAGGAAGACATTTTTTACAATGAGAGTGGTGAAACACTAGAATACATTGCCCAGAGAGGTGGTAGATGCCCCATCCCTGGGAACATTCAAAGTCAGGTTGGATGGGGGCCTGAGTAACCTGATCTAGTTGAAGATGTCTCTGCTCACTGCAGGGAGGTTGGACTATATGACCTTTAAAGGTCCCTTCCAACCTGACGCATTATATGATTCTTTTTTCTGAACTTTTCCTTATGCTTAATGTGGCTGCTGCCAGCTTATTGTGATGGTCTTGCCTTAGTACTGGGACAGGCAGTGTAGAGCTGATCTTCATCCCTCTTCCACTCATGTAGAGGGCTGTGTTTTCCTCCACACTTTCCTGCATTTCTGATGCTCAGGAGCAGAATAAAAATTAATTTGATGCTTTAGAAATGGGATAATGCCCTTTGGCTTATACTGAATTATGGCAGTTACTACGAAGTTAGCTGAGGTTAAACAAATTAACCTCCTTCAATCAACAAATGTAGAGTAATGGGCATAACAATAACGTGTGTTGTGGCTATACATCTTGACTTCAGCAAGGCTTTTGCTGCCCTGACAGTTAAATCTTTCACTTAACAGTCTTATAAGCAAGCTAGGCTGAAGAAGTCTAGCAGGAACTACAGCAGAATGATATAAAGTTGTTTAGAAAACAGTGTCCACAGAGAAGTGAGTGAGAGCTTGCTGTTAAAATAGAAGGATGGCTACAGCAGCATTCCTCAGTGTCTGCCTTGGGCCCAGCATTTTCATTAATCATTTAGATGACGGGACAGAATGTGTTTGCCTATTAAATATGTAGATGACACCATGCTGAAAGGGGCTGCAAGTTCTTTGGAGACGAGATGAGAACTCAAAAAATGGAGATGTGATCTGAATAGGAGCAGGTGTGAGGTATACATTTAGGCAGGAATGATGAACTGCACAAATGTGGGATGGGGAATGTTGGCAGCCCCTTCCAGGCTCTACCTTTCCCTGCAGACTGCTCTCAGTACTCCAAATATTAGTGGCACACCGAGTACCCACAGCCACTGTTGTTTTTCTTGCTTCAGAATTTGTCAGGGCTTGGGCTTGTCAAGGCTCAAGGCTCAGCTGGATACTGGATTCTTTAATTGGGTTTCCTTATGAGGACCTGAGAGCAACCATTGGACAGTGAGCTGATAACCAAGCCATGCACATGGAGGCTGCCCTGTTGAGCAGTCTTAATCCAAAGAGTACATGCTATGGTTTCCCTTTACATACATGGAATAAGTTTCTTACACACTATGTCACGTTTCCCCTCATTGGTTACTGCCATCTGTCACACTGTTCAGAGCTGACTGGTCTCCTGAGTAGGCTCAGAAGCTTCAGGTATTAGCACTGCTGTGTATTCAGTTCACCTGCAATATTTGGCCAGGTCCTTGGGAAATGACCAGTTAGGAAGATGATTGAGGGATCCTTAAAGTAACATTTGTTGAAAATATTGCAGAAAATGCAAATTGTCCAAGTGTTGTCCAGGGGAGGGTAGCCTGTTGCACATAGGAAGTAAAACTTTGCTTAACTTTGCTTTGGATTACTATGTCCATTTTGGAGAGAAAATAGCAATAATCAAAGCCTGGGAAACAGGGTCATCAGGGAAGCTTAACTGAACAATAAAGAGGATCTGGGAACAGTCTTCAAATACATGTGAATTCCATGAAGGGAATAATTTTTTCCCCTCTTTCACAGATGAAACTGAAATTGCTGTAATGAATGCTGAACTTGCATGTTTTGTTTCTAATGGTCCGGGTGTTTAAGCAGCAGAGTAGATTGCCTAGAGAGATCTGTAAGAGCAAGACAGACAAATCTTTCTTGAGAGTAGTGCAAGTACAGTGGGCCCCTGAAGGGTGGGCTACGGTGTGCCTAGCCAAGCTGGGGCTCCAAAGGTAGGATTGGAAGTCTTTCTGTCAGGTGAGGGTCTGGTCCATTCAGACTTGCACCTGAGAAGCGGAGATGAAAATGAGCCTCCATGCAAATTTGCAGCCCTGTGAAATTTTGATAGCAGGATACTTAAATGAAGGTGTTTGCAAAAATGGAAAGCTGGATGGCTCTTACAGACTTTCTTCCCTCTGCTCTGTGTGCTCACTCTTTTAGGTTTACTTGATTTTATTTGTCATGAAGTGTTGTTTATACTTTCTCCAGGCTATCTGTTCTCTATTTTATTTAGTAGTATTAATATTATTAGTAGTACTACTCCAAGATTAATACTTAAGGTTCTTAGGCATATTGCATCTGTGAGAAGAATTTTTAATACTGAGATCTAAAGCCCAACTCCTAAAAATACTGTCAGAGACCAAGAGCAACCCTATTTTCCATTGGTCAATAGGAAATGCAGTTTTTCATTGCATCTGAATTTTAGAGTACGTATTTAGAACATCACTGGCCAGTATACCTGTTGAAGAAATTCCAGTTTGGTTAATTTTACTGAGTTATAGTATATTTCAAAGATTTTTGTGCAATGTTTTCTTTATTTATTTTTTTTTAAACTAAAGATTTTAATAATAAAAATAATGTAGAGCAGATAAAATAATTTATGCTTGAAAGGTTGGGAAAATTTGTACTATTTGAGTTATGATTTCTTACTTATATTTTACTACAGGGAGTGAAAGAGCAATCAGCATGCAAAGTATTAGTTTAAATAAAAGTTCTGAAATGTACATTGTCATTGGAAAATAGGTATATTATTGGAATGTACACAGTTTTCAACATTTAAACCTCTGTCTTTAGTTATGTAGACTGCTGTAGCTGGATGATTTTTTTTGTTGTTTGGCGTATATACACAATCACTCTTTCAAGTATAGGGGAAGTCCTTTTTTAAAATTCTTTTTTATACCTTGAGTTACATCTTGTTGTTCTGCTTTGATTAATGCAGACTGATATACTCTGGTAAAAGTATAATGTGTAATATAGAATATATACTAATTTCCATTAAGTGTAGATTTAAAGGCTGAACATAAGAACTTCAAGACCTTTTCCTTTAATTCAGCACAAATAGTCATTATTATTTTGACTAATTGTGAATATGTGGTGTTACACAGATGTCCAGAATCTCTTCCTTAATCTAACCTTTGACCTCACCAGGATGTTTTTTAGGAGAAAGAGTCACTTGTGTAAGAAGTATGCCTGTCTGTTCAAACTCTAATGCCATGGCCTAGGCTGATTAAACAATAAATTAATACTGATACAAATATCCATGTATGCTGAACTTGAAAGAATAGCTAATGTTAACTGAGAAGGGAAATTTATAAATATATTGTATGCTGAAAATTCTAGCTACCTTCACCAAAATAGGGGACTTTAGGGAAAAAAAACCAAAACCAACCAAACAAAAAAAAACCCCAAAAGCTAAGTGTCAAAATAAAAGTCTTTTCTCTGCAAACTTAACACTGTAAAAGGGAGTCTTGAAAAAAGACTTTTAAATGTGTTGTTGTATTTCTGAGGAGTATGGTACTTCTAGTTAAATGAGTTAGGAAGGATAATTTATGCTGAGTGTCTCTGCTTTGTTAATGTTCAAGCAATGTTACTGAGCCTATGGATGCTAAGAACAGCAAAACTTCTTCCACTTAGCATGTTTTCAGGAAAAATGTTATTCCTACGTATGTAAATCCTCATTCTTTTTTATCAATTCAACAACAGCAACTATTTTAGTAAACAGGTTTTGCTGAAGCATAATAATTTGCATACAGTACTGTTTGTAAAGAATTTTATCCTGTCTTGAAGGTACTCATTGGAAAAGTTCAGTGTTGAGTAAGCCTTTGAAGAAGACTATGAATTTCATCTTTGTAGTTTACGTGTGTTCAAAGTTTATTAATTAAACTTACCCTGGGAAAAAAAGAACTCTGTGCCATATTTAGAATGAATTCTATTCATCTGACTCAGACCTAGCGATCTAGAAGTAAAGAGTCTGCAACCAGGCAATTTGGAAAAAAAATCAGTTTCTCTTCTATTCTTTTTCACATCTGGATGTTTTTGTTTCTTACCAGTCATCATAATGGTTATCTTAAAGCGTGTTTGAAAATGTAGAATTCTTTAAAAAAAGCTGATATTCCTTACAGTTGTTCATTTAGAGTTTAAACTTGTCTGTGAAGTAACACGATCTTCACTATTATTTGAAGGAATGAAGATTTATTTATGTTTTTTGCTTACTCTTTTTAAATTTATTTCCTGAAATATTTTATCTCTCTGTTTTCACATATAACTTGAACTCATTTTAATTAATTTATGTTTCAGTACTGCCACTTACCATTGTAGATTTAGTTATTTTAGTTGAAACATTTTAGTGAATATCCTGATTTTAATCTCAAATGTAAAAAGCAAGTAAGTTGAACATGTAAAGTTTAAACTGAAAGGTAAAAATGTCATTTCTTTACTACAGCAGAATACAGTACAATCCACAGTCCATCAACACCCATTAAAGATTCAGATTCAGATAGATTACGTCGTAGTTCAGATGGGAAATCACGTGGACGTGGCAGAAGAAACAATAATCCTTCACCACCACCTGACTCGGATCTAGAGGTACATTGTATTATATGTCGTTGAGCTGTTACAGACTCAGCACTATTTTGCAGAGAGAATTACAATTTACATATTAAAAATAAAGTGTTCTGTCTCTGAAAAATATTGGGGGGTTATTTCTCCTTTTGATTAGAACAAACAAACAAACTAAAAAAACCAGCCAAAACAAAAAACAAGCTTTTCCCAAGTCAGAGAAAGGTTTGGGTTTGGACAGGAGATATGTCCAGCATAATAGTGGGTTTTGTTCTCTTGTGCTATGTTCTCTTTCCCCTCAGTGGCCCACAGTTTGTATTGAGAACACATCTCTAGTGACACACCAGAGCTATGAGTGTCCACACTGTATTACTTTTCCTTTCCAAAAGCATAGCCCATTTCTCATAATGGGAAATACAATCTCAGTAGGATTTGAAACACTTGTGTTTGAACACTTTATTTTTCATTAAAATATCATTTTGTGTGTGGTCAGAGGACAACTTTAAACACATATTTTCCATTCACTCTGAGCAGAAGAATTATTTACTGATGCCATAAATTCTTACACATGCAACATCTAAATTAATAACTTTAATTCTTCAGATGCCTAAATTCAATGAAAAATTAACATAGATTAGGGGGATCTAAGTGCTTAGCATTAATTAGCTTTATTTGGTTTTTAGATGTCATTTTCAAGAGCAGCTATATGAACTTAGTTTTGTAAGACTTCAAACCTAGATTCAGTTTCCAAAGGCTTCTCTTAATTTATTTCAGTTTATATCTCACATCTGACTTAAAAATAATGCATCATATATCTTATTTTCTGTGTGTATTTGAAAATAATAATTTTATTTGAATAGAATCATTTGATATAATAGCAATTGTAGTGAAAAGCTAACAGATTGTATTACCATATTTTGGAAAAAAAACTTGTTAGTTCTGACAATATATGGCAAAGAAACTATAGTTTTAATACGTGACCATTTCAATAAAATTTTCTCATTTGTGCACTTACTGATTCAAATTTTAACTTTCCATTTCAAGTATGAGCTTCACAAAGGAACACATTGATTTGATTCTCTTTTTACAGAGAGTATTCATTTGGGATTTGGATGAGACAATCATCATTTTCCATTCCTTGCTTACAGGGTCCTATGCCAACAGATATGGAAGGGTAAGTGTCAATAAACTGATGGAAATTTTCAGTAATATTTGCTGGTTTATGGTTGCTACATAAGGAACACCACAACATGAGTTGATTTTTCAATGGCAAAATTATACTGGTGTTTCAAGATATACAGAATCAAGGAGTAAAGTCATTTCACGTGTCCATTCTTTGAACTCACTGAGCTCTTATATTCAGTAAATAATTAAGTAGCATTGGGAGTAATACTTTGACCGCTTGAGGTTTTGGTTGTAGCTACAGAGTGTCTGAAGCCTGTTGATATCATTAAAATCTGCAAAGGTTTAGCTTCCCTCAGAGAGTGAAGAAATTTCCAGAAGTGATTGCTAAAATAACATTTTACTTCTGAGTGATCAGCAGTGGACTGTGCTCTGTATTGAGAAGGCAAGAGGAAGAATACTTTTGGACACAGACAGATTAGTCTAAAGTTTTTTGCTCTAACTTGTTTTAGTCTACATATTGACTGATGTTTTTGAAAGTCTGCTTATGAGTCAAAACTTTCTGTTATGCACAGTCTATAAATCTTAACTAAACTGATGAATATGTCTACAGGCTGTGGGTTTCTTTGGTAATTCTCAGAAGAGAAACAGTCTTAGGTGAATAAGAATAGTTTATGAATGGAATGCCCTTGTGAGATCAAACTGCTTTTTAGGATTGTATTTGAAAGCTGATGTCTCTGCTTGTGCTAAATCTGTTGTGCCATTTCATATGCACCTCATATGAGGTATAACTAGAATGTGCTTATTTGGTAGCCTTAAAAATTCTTCATATTCTTCAGTTTTATTGGCCATAATGTAATCACCCTATTGTCTTGTAAAGTTTATATTTATCACTAAAGGTTATCCTCCATATCCAATTGAATGAAGGGCAAAGCTACTACTGATTCAGTCCATGCCTGGGTCAGGTTTTTAATTCCTCCTAATAGCCTTTTTGCATTATAAAAATCTAACACAGTCCTTCGTTGCAACTTTTCTTGCTTGTTCAGGTGTGGTGAATTTTCAAAAGTGTTTGCTGTAATAGGAGCTCACCTGTTGTAGGAATATAATAAATTTTTTGTTATGTGTCAGAAAAGTAAGCTAATTCAGCAGCCTTGGTTTCCTACATGTTAGTAGTTTCTATTTAGGTAGTAAAAAACCACTAAAGTTTTAATGTTTTGTCAGTTATTGTATGGACACATATAGACAGTAGCATTAAACAGTATTAAACATGTACAAAAAGTTTTCCATTTCTCAGCCTTCTGTGAACATAAGAGAAACTCCCTCCAAATCCAGCTTTTGCATGGCACCCCAATAGTGCCAAAGCTCAGAAAGAGAAGAAAAAACCTCAGTGCTCACAAAAAGACTTTGGTGCCAACAGAATGTCACCATTTGCATTTCGGCAGCAAGAGGACTGGAAAAGCCTAATTAGTAATTACCATAGAGGTACTTTACAAGCACATTTTTTCCATTTGTTACTAGTTCCCTATAATGGTTTCATTAATTGAGGCCTGAACATAAACACCTTTCTTTGTGGATGATTGAGGTTGAGGAAAGTGGCTAGTATTCAGCTCCAAAGAGATACAAATATATATGCTGAAGGAGGTGGGTGACTCGTGATGGCACCTCCACCAGTGTTGGCAGTGTTTACTTGAGCTTTTGCCTGGCCAGCTCTGGTTGCATGGCATGTGGCTGAATACTTCTGCATTGCTGAACAACAACCAACCGTTGATGTTAAGAGGGCATTAGTACCTATGCTGTGGGGGCAGGAAACCCCTTTTTTGGTCTTCTGGAGAGCAATGTGTATGTCCTTGGTTCTCAGTCATGAAAGTCTGCCATTCTTGCTTTGTTTTCTTGAATTTTCACTCATGTCATAATTTCTCCTAGCTTATTGACAGCTTCAGACAACTGTCAATGATTTCCATAGACATTAGAGGAAGGTAGTGTCAAATGTTCAAAGTAAACATGCTAAAACATGTATTTGTCATATAAGAATTATAGGGTTTATTTGCAGCAGTGGAAGGTGTGCATCTTTTTAGAGAGTGATTCCTAATGATCTCTGGCCTTTAAAATCAGAAATCCAGATCATAATTCAATCTGAAAAATAAAATTGTTGAGGTGAATTTTGTACTTTTAACCTCTGTTCTGCTTTTTGAGTGATCTATCATTATGTTCTCATGTGTTTCTGCACTGTGTTGAGGGTTAGAAATGCCCTTTTAAAAAATTAAATCTAAGCTGCTTACATAATCATTAAAATACAAAAGCTGGATCTTCAAACAAACAAAATTATCCTAATTAAATAGTAGAGGATTTAGCAACTTGGCATTCAGCTTTTTTCATAATGCCTGAGTGAGTTTCATGGTGAATGGCTATGAATGATGAGCAGCCCTGCTGCTGAAGGGATTGACTTTCTTTTCCTTATTCTCTACGTCCTTCCTCATAACTTCTTGCTTATGCCACCCTTTTCTATATGTTCTTCCTTTCTCATCTGTTTTTGTCACCTGCTCTCCATTTGCTCCTGTTGGGCTCTACTTTCTCCCTGCTTTTGTCCTTCAGCTTTGTTGGAACAAATAATACCCTTGTTTTTCAGGTTGTGCAGTCATTGCATAAACTGCTACATATTTATTTAAGGGTGATTTGAATTTTGTAAATTTCATGGAAATGTATGAAACTTGTATAAGAAAATTATTCATACTTCCAGAAAAGTAGAAAAAGAGACAAAACATTTCATTTGCTTTGGGCAATGTTTTTGTAATATGTAAAGAAAGAGATCTATTGATCTAATATCAAGTTATCAATTACTTTATTGACATTAGGGCTTCTGACACTTCACAACTTAGGTTTTGAACCAGATGTAAGCTGATTAAGTTTTGGAATTTGGAAAAAGTTGGAGCCCTTCTTTAGTACTTTGAAGCAGGTGGAAATACATCTCAGTATTGGCACTAGAATACTGTGGTCTTTACTTACATTTCCATTCTCCATGAAAGCATTTATATTCAGAGGCTTTAAGGGAATTTTCCTTTAAATTAAAAGCTATTTTTATGTGGTTTAATATATTTTAAAGATTGAGAAAAACAAAGCCTGGTTTCACTTAACCCTTCATTTGTGACCTGTAGGCTTAAGTGGAAAATAAGCCTTGTACCCAAAGTGAACTTTCCTGTTTTTCAGCTTCTTGTTTCTCCACAAAACAAAGAAATCAAGTGGGTAGAATTTAGAAATGACATACAGACAATGTTTTGGCTCCAATACCAGTATTCAAAACAAGAGGCCTGCTTAAGCAGTTTGACATTGGTATTTCTTTTCTTTAGCTAAACTGTACCTCCCTCAGAGATTTGTACCTGATTTTGACCATACCTGAAAAGACACTCCACCTGAACCTGCAAATCCCAATCAACAAGAACAAGATTGTTAGCTTTCTTTCTCATTGTGTGACACCTCACGATAATTAGTTAGCAATTAATGGCTTAAGATTGCAAAAGAGGGTTGGATATGGACTTTTTTTTTAAAAAAAGAACCTTATTCTAACCTTCTCTTTTTTTAATGTTTTCAACCCCTCCCATAACGTCTGACATGCGAGTTTAATCTACTGCAGTGCCTTAAACCAAGGCTCTTGTGCTTTTTACTAGACCAGTTGCAAGATTGTGACTATACAGATGTTTAAAACTCTAATGCAGATAAGGCTTTTGGTTTTAAATATATGGTGGTATCTAGAGCTGCAGCTTAAAGCAATTTTTATACTAAGTGGAACTTTCTATAGTAAAAAATTGTGTTTAGTCAAGGAATTAAGGTTTCTTTGAAAAGCAGCCTGTTTTCTTTCTTCTGTTAGCTTTTATAGTATTTAATCTGACATTTTCAGTAGGTGCCGATGATTTTCTTACTTGTTTTTCTCCTAATTAAATTAACCTAATAAATAGTATTATGTTAATTTTACTTTAGAGAAATCTCCATTCTGTTTTGTCTGCCATTTAAAAATACCTTGGAGTGAAATGGTTCACAGAAAGATTTACGAAAAGCCATTTTTTCAGACTCAGAAGTGTGATTAAAGTTTATTAAAATTGTTTAATATAAGCCATGCAAACATTGAAACTTAAAATATATATTCACAGACATTTATTTAAAATTAACCATATGGATTCATAACCAACGTCACGTTCTGTCTGCCAATTTATTCTGCTTTTCAGAATGACGGTTCTATTTATGGATGGAAGCTCAGAATGGGATTAGTTATGCACTGTTACATTAGCAGTTGATAATTGAGATGTAGCTAGTGATCTTCATTTGCATCTTAGACCCTTAGTCCATCTAACTCCGTTTAATAACTGTGGCAGAGAGTTCTGTGGGGCAACTTCTATTAGTGCTCAGGAACAACAGAAATCCTTGTCTGATTTAACAAAAAAAACCAAGGTAATGAGCTATGAAGGACAGTGGAGAGGTAACTGGGCACAAGGATAAGCAAGAATGTCAGAGGAAGAAGTAGCCTCAGGCCTAGTTAGAGAAAAAATATCACCTGCTTTCCACCTCACATGCCTACAAAAGTAAAATACAGGAAGACATAGGTCTGCAAATAGAGCAATATTAAAAGATAAATAATACTTTTGTTCATATTTTAAAGTCTTTCCATTTGAATTAAGAAGCCAAATATAATTTAAAAAAAAATATTTTTTGCCAGTGCCAGTTTAAATAGAAGGCTTATTTTTAAGGGCAAAGTTCGTCAGACTAGCATGATGCAATTTTTCTTTCCATTTTGTAAGGGCTATTTTTTTTGTACTAGAAAACGTATTTACTCTTAACATATGTTAGTTAAAGAACAGATATTTTGTCTGTTCTATGGAGTTTTGTTTCTATATGGGTCTTTCAAAAATTCTTTTTCTGGTTTGTTTTTATTTTGTTTTGGTTTTTTTTTGTTGTTTTGTTTGTGTTTTTTTTTAAGGTAAGTCTTAGCACTTCCAGAAGGCAAACAACCTGCCAAATCACCTTTCTTTTCCAACTCTTTGCTACTGACACATTTTACCTTTTAACCAGTAGTTATAGAAAAATGTTTGAAAGTTCAGAGATCATGTTGAAACACCTATTACTTTGATTGAGAGGTGGAAAAAGAAACGAACGACTGCATCTCTTGGTTTTTAACTTTGAGTTGTCATCAGGTTTAGAATGTTAACTTATTTTAAGCAAAATATGGGTTGTCATTTCTGCAATTCTATTTAAAATATAATTCCTAACAAGCTAACATTGTTAATAGAGGGTGTCATGAGATAATATAACATGTTCCTTCAAACTCATGCTTCTGTGCACTTGGATATACTTGGCATTATAAATTAGAAACTCTATATCAAATGTATATATTAGGCTTTCTTTTAAATTTTTCATATTGAAAATATATAAAACACAAAAAAATCAAAACAAGACAAACATCTGTAATGCATTTGGTAACCACAATGCTGAACATGCTTTTTGAGTTTATGAGCTCAGTAAGGAATAAGTTGTTATGGTAATTTCTGTAGAGAAGTTAAAGTGTGTTATGTATTAATAACAAACAATAGATTTGTTCACTCTGCATGGGTGGGCCAAACTGAAAGCATAATTAAAGCATGGTTTTCTGGAGAATCAAGGAGTGGTTTTAAAAATAAAACATAAACAGTGATTTGCTTTAAACTCACTAGGTATTCCCAGGACCGAATCCTTTCACTTGTCACCAGTGAGAGTTTATTTTGAGTAACAATAGCATTATCGTACCCCCAGTTGATCATAAAACTTGACTACAGGGGTCCTGCTGCAGAATCACACTGTTGGTTGAGTTAAAGTCATATTTTTTTAGTGTGGTGGTAAGTTTTATAGTATAGGATTAGAGAGCTGCTCAAGTTAAACTGAACAAGTGGATGTTGCATTTAATACGTCAAGTAATCCCTCTTGAAAAGCTATTCCTCCACTTTGTATTCTAATATTTGTTAGGCGTGGTATTGATGGTGTACTTGCCTGATTTTTTCTTTAAGGATCCACCCACCTCTGTATCTCTTGGACTTCGAATGGAAGAGATGATTTTCAATTTGGCAGACACACATCTATTCTTTAACGATTTAGAAGTAAGTGTTCACCCTTTGATTCAGTATTTGTCGTTTTATGTGTTATATAGTGGTTTGACAATTTTTTTTTGTTTCACTGTTTTTATATGGAAATGTTTGGAAAATATCTGTATAATGTAGTCATTAGGGTATATAATAATATCTATACTAAATGTCTGCATTGGCATTCAAAGATTACAAGAGTTTAAATAGTAGGGTTTTGACCTTACAGATCTTAGTATTTATGACCACAGCAAACAACGTTTAGAAGTGGATATACCAAAAGTGTCCATAAACATTAAAATTCAATAGTCTGCCTAGGCCATTAAATATTAAACTCCAGCTTCTATAAACGGTTAACGGCTGGGTACAGATTTCTCGCTTACATCCCCCTGTGGACAAGTATTACCTTAAACCCAAGGGAGATCATTAATGTTGTATACGCTGTCAGTCTCAGTGGCCTGTTCCTCAGGGGCTCCTCTGCCTTCCCTGGCTGCAGGTACGACTTGTTACGTGCTGGGGTTTCACTGCCTCTCCCCGTGGCACACGGCAAGGAGCTGGTGTGGGGCTGCCAAGGGCTTGTTCAGCCTACGTAGGCCACGGTTTGGCGGCGCTTGTGAGATCCTTCTAAAACTATCCGAACTGCTGAAAGAGACTGTCACCAAAATGCCTGGCTGTTTCATCTTAAAAGGGAAAAAAAGCGATTTCTGATCATATTTTAATAACACGAAAACATGAAAACAGCCAGATTTCTTTCCCATCATAATGAGGACAGCTGTTTATTTAAAATCCAACTGTTAAGCAAGCTTGTGGTGGGGCTGCCAACACACATTAATCATCAAGTTGTTGTTTTGCTAGATTTTAGAATAGTGTGTTATTCCAGACAGGCAAAAGAATCTGAAAGATTCAAATGCAACTTTTGCTGATCAAAGTTAATTGGCAGCAATTGGCCTTTAAATATTTCCTGATGTTTCCCTTTTCAAAATCAAGCAAAATACACCTTATTTAATAGATGAGCCAAAATAATTTGAAAAATGCCAGTGTGTGATAGACCTCAAATGTGGTTTGTCCAACATCTGTCCTATATTTTGATTTCTTTTCATCTAAAAAGAAACCACTCACAGATGATTTGGCATCTTAGAATGTAATGAAATTATTTAAATGTGCTTTATTTTTTCTTCCATTCCTTAGTGGAGTATACATTTTTTATATTTACAATAGTATAAATGAGATATTTAAATTGTAAAGTAGTGGTTTCTTTCATTAAGGTATCTGTGTGTAAAGATGTGATTGCTTTGGATATAAGAAACACCATTAGTGTGTTGCATGCACAGGACTGTTTTTTCAGATTTGTAGAAAATTATAACAATGCTAGTCATTTTCCAAATCTGTTTCTGATTTCTGGTTATATTTAATTTTATCCAGAGCAGAAGGAGAAAGTACTACTGTATCTTACCACCATATTCAATAAAGTTTGGTTTGTTTTCATTTGCTATGCATAGCCAGATACTTAGTAACTAGTAGCTACTTCTTCATACATGTTTATCAGCCTCACTGACTTTAATGGAAATTAATCAACTGCATTTTAGGGATAGCAGATTATCTTCTGCTAATTAGCATGTTACAGCCTTTACAGTACAACAGAGTGGTTTATTCACTGAAGGATTTTGAAGCTGTTTATGAAAAAATACTGATCCAGGTGGCTCACAGAAGCAGAAGAGCCCATTGCATGAGCTTGATTCTCTGCATCTCCCTCATAACAAGCCAATTTATCTTGTGTCTCCAAACACAAGTGTAACAGTCGGTGTCTATACCCTACTCCATCCTCTTCACAGAGGCACTTAGGAGTGAGCAGTTGTGTTCATGTCCTTGTACATGAGCTATAAACCCTCATTTCTAGGCAACATGAGTTCCAGTCTGAAACACCGTGGCCCATCAAAGGGAGAGAAGAGCATGTTCAGCAGTAAAGGGGAGTGGGTTTATGCTTGTGAATTGCCATGGAGTCTTCAGAGAAGTACACGGGGAGGGGGCATAAGAGAGCCTGTTCTATGTAGGAAGCAGTACTTAAGGACTAGACCTGGCCGCAGACTGAGGCTTTCCGTTCACCAGAAATTTCAGGTTTTTTGAAACATGTTGCAGACAGGTGGTGTTTTTGAAGGAAGGTGTCCTCTTGGAGCCACAGTTGGCTCACAGAATGGCTCACATTCTTGTGAGCCGTGACCATTATTAGCAGGGCCTTTCTTGTTCCCAAGGCCTGTGACCTCAGGGCAAATTTTTCACATCCATCTCAGAAACACAAAGTCTGTCCTTGGTGGTTTGGAAGTTCAGGCTGTTCTACAGCTTGACAGGCTTCCATGAAAACTGTGGGCAATTTGGCTTGGCTGTGCCTCAGGCTCAAAGCATCTGTTCTTGCTGATGAAGGACTGAGTCTGGAAGATCTACTGGTGACCCTGCTCAGGACTAAACTTTCCAACTCATGTGAATAAACATCTGGGCTATTAAGAACTGAGAATTTTGCAGGTAGCAATGTCAGTGAGCCGCAGAGCTTGGGCATCCTTGCCCAGAATGAGTATGAAGGCTGGCAAAGTTGGATTTGGAACATGTCTAACCCACAGCATAGACATGTCTTCGGGTCTAAGCGTAATTTAAAGTGGGAACCTGAAAGATGATGCTGTCTGTCTCACCCAAGCTCAGAGAGAACCCTTCCTGGCATACAAGAGGCTGGGTTTATGGGCAGGCAATCATCTGTCATAACTTTGGCTTGTGATGCACATTTTTCCAGATACCACAAGTTAATGTTTTTTAATATAAATCTACTTTTCATCTGATGTGTTCCAGAAAGCTCTAATCAGAACAACTCTCTTGTTATTGAAGTTAGAGTGAAAGTATTTTGTCTTTTTATAAGCTGCTAAAGGTGGATTTAACATTTTGAATGCAAAGGTCAGAGTTGCATTTGATCTTCGCAGCTTTGCTTGATTTGTTTGTGACCTAACTGGCTTTTTGAAGCTCAACTTAAGGATTTATTTCATGTTATTAGGTTACATTCTAAACTTCAGCAGTTACTTTTGTAGTCAATATGAAGTGAATCAATGTCAATGTGTATCAGTTGAGAACTAGTTTACCCATCCTAATTTAGTATGGGATACAGCCAGGTAAAGGAATAATCTCATTTTCTATATGTTTCTCTTTATGTAATATTAATAGTAATAATAATAACCATTTTTCAAACTCAATTAAATAAGATCTCACCACCTAGCTCTGTATTCTGTCAGTATTCTGGTTATGAATGGGTAAGCTGCACTTAGGTTTACCATTATTTACTGGACCCCAGTTTGTGTGAGTTTAGTTTATTGCTTTGAGAAAAAGTAAGACAGATAGTTTATTTATTTCACTTTGCACAGTTTTGTTTGGAGCAACTCATTCCAAATTGATATAATAGCAAATAATTTCAATTCTTGAAGGAACATTTCTTAAACAGCATATTAAAGAGGTATGACAAGGATTTTAATACGCTGAAATAAAAATATTAATGTTTACTAATGTATAATCTGATCTAAGTACTATCATAAGCAATCCTTTATTGCTTAATAGTAATTTTATAATGATATTCTAGAAGTATACTAGGCCAGACAGTAGAAAATAATGCAATGATCTCAAAATTTAGATTAAAAAATCTGCATTTGGACTTCAAAATAAGTTCAGATTTTCAGTATTGAAAATTTTCTGTTGAATATCTCATACCCTATTCTATAGTAGAATTTTAATTGCAAGCAGGAGGGAATAACTACATTGCTGTAGTGCTCTCAAGAGAACCACATTTACCTAATCAGAAGAGAATGTGTGATTTTACATGCTGATTATGTTGTGATAGTGATAATAAGGTATAGTATTTTAATGGTATATATGGAGCAATTACAGGTTAGGTATTTTAAGAAGTATGCACCAGTGTTTTAGGGGACCTAGCAACTTTGTGATAGGATTAAAATGTGACATCTACCTATATGCGTCTTTAAAGATTTTATAAATTTATGTGTTTATGCTGATCCTCTTAAAAGATTAGTTTATTGATTTCTTTGGCATCTCAGGTGCAAAGTATAACTACATCTGTTAAAGGAATAATTACTGGTAGTGAATGATTGTAAACATCTTATTTTAAAAAGTTACTCAGTGCTTTGCAAAGTCTATTCTAAAATTGCACCATCTCATTAGATCTGTTCCATTAGAGGTATTTACTGAAGCTGAAAATATCATGGAGGGTTTCAGATAAGGTTATAATATTATGATGGTATTGAAAAAAATTTGACACCTGATAAAGGGCACAGTAATGATTATTAGCATTTGTTTTTCTTCCATCAGTGAAGGATATGTAATGCATGCTTATGGCTTCACAATTCACTTTTGTTTCAGGAGTCTCTATATGCAAAGTGATGATATATGTATGAGAGTAATTTCTAAGGAATGGCAGTATGTTCTGAGTTTTTCAGCTACATTAGTTGATGTATTTCTCTTAATGTTAAAAGATGAAGGAAAGCTATCAGGTACTCACATAAGATATTAACTTGCATTATTTGGGAAAAAACCCCAAATAGTTGTGTTCAAACAATTAGGAATGCTAACCTTGATTAATTTCTCCTTAGATTCTTACTTAAAAATCCACCTGGCTGTATATTTATGTGTTCCTGATGAAAATTCAGAGTATAGTCTCTTTTCCGTGTCAAAAAAATTGCATAAGAGCTTTATGATTACAAGTATGGTGTTATGATGTTGCTCCAGATTATGAACCTTTAAGGCATCTCAGTAGCATATTAGCACACATAAACGCCCCTGGAAAGCTGCCTGCTTTAAGAGTTGCATGCGATTTCCAAGAGATACAGTTCTGTCAGTAACCAGGGCTGGCTGGAGCAGCAGCCTGAGCTGGGGGGGCTGTGGTGTTCCCATCCCATCTGCAGCACCTTTACTCCTCTGTCCTGCCCACCAGCCGCCCACAGCTTTGACTGGTCCTCCCGTGCCCAGGAGTGGCA